TTCATTATCCAATTTCAAATTACAATCTGATGAAGCAAGTTGAGCATAACATCGCTTAGAAGGTTCTGTTTTTATTTCTTCTTGATTCAGTTTACTTGTTAGCTAGCGCACATTGTTGCATTTTCATGCAATATGGACTGTATTACGACTATCTGGATATATAGATACATCGATGAAGGTGTTTATCTTCAATTTTGACTGTTTCACTCAGAATCGTTCATTATCATTCCTTATCAACAACTAGCTTAAATGGCTTCCATTTTCATTCTAAAACCTTGTCGAAGTGACCCTGCACACACAGCACTTAAACTATGTGTTACTTGGGGCTACCATTATTCTGCTATTGGTGATTTTATAATTGCTTTAGTAGTTACATTTGCACTTTTGCTTTAAGCTTGGCGAAAGATATTCGATTCAATCAATGCTACATGTACTTTTTTTTTTTCTTTGATTTGGAGGAGTGTTCGCATATCAATTCTACATTTGCTCAATATATAGTTAGGATTTTCTGAGATAAGTGTATTTGAACCATCGTATGACAAGGAGAATCTTTGGAAAAAAAAAAAAAAAAAAAAAACTTGTAAACTTTAACCAAAATAAACAATATGAAGCTTAGTTTTGTCCATTAACTCCAAACAACGTTTTAATTTTGTTAAATTTGATGCATTGTGGAGAGATCTTCCAATTATACAAATATCAAGTTTAGAAGACCTTGTGTTACTGTACATAGTGTTTTTCTCCCAAAAATATATAGAACATGTTAGGACTTGTTAGTGATGAGGCCTCGAATAATTTTATCACTAAGGATGTATATATGGGTGATTGGGGATTAAAGAGTCATTTATGGATCTATGATACTGTTTTATCCTACATTGAAGAAACTACATCCTTAGTGATATATGTGTGCTTGTGTGTGTATATAGTTACTACTGTTGTATCTCAATGTGAGTTCTGTATGTTTGAAAGTGTAAAGACTACATTTTATCTCTTTTAGCTTAACAAATTTATGTGTGCTTGTGTGTGTGAATAGTTACTACAGTAGGTTATATTTAGCGCATACTGGTGGTCAGTTTTGTTTATTCAGGGAGCCATGGAAGATGAGATGACTTTTCAGGAAGAGGGAATGATTGCTAGAATTATGGAAAAGAAGGCTCCGAAAAGCAAATTTGCACGGATGAGAAAAATGATGGACTCTTGAACTAAAAAACCAGATGATTGTGGAGAAGAGTTTGATTGTATGCCCTGAGAGTCTGAGTGGAGCAACTGCTTCTGTTTCTTAAAAAAAAATTTCTTGCAAAAGTTCTGTGTAGAAAAATTTGGGAAAATCAATTTGCTCTGGCGGGAAAATGTGAAATGATGCCAACTCCCAACTGAAAAAGGAAAGAAATGATAGCAATCTAACATTTTATGAATTGTTATTCCTGTAGGTCATTAGGTCTTAAATCATTGATTATGTCTTGAAAATTTTGAAATTTACTTGTTTTTTTCTTCCTGAATGTCTTTTTTAATGTACAAGTATGAAAGTAACTACTTTGTGTAAGAATAATGTTACAAGATTAAATATGTATCTAGTTCACCCTCTTAACACCGCTCTTAACAGCGCACATAGGCGGGACTGCACAGAAGCTTGTGAGAGCAAAGCAGATATCTGTTTTCTCTTTCGGGAAAGATAAGAACAGAAAGGAACCTTAGGGCATGTTTGGTTCACTTTTCTAAGGACTATTTTCCATTTCCAGGTAATTAAAAAACAGAACACAGTATGAAAATTTGTTTGGTCCACAGTTTTTGGAAAAATGAGTCAAAAAAATGCAACTTATTTTTCTAATTTTTGTGAACTGTTTTCTGTTTTACGAGTTCTTGAAAACTGTTTTAAGAATGGAAAGAGATTAATGTGAATTTGGCAATGTTAAGCATTTGTATACATCTGTTTCTCAGCACATGTAGTTTGTTATTAGAAGAATGACCATATAATTTGGGATCCTATGAGAGCAACACTCATTGGATGTATAAGGAAATGGTGATATTCAGTTGCTTTTATTTTGAAAATGAAAACCATTATGACCTTTTTCAGTTGACAGTGAGAAACTGAGATCAAGAGGGTCACAAGGTCCCTTAGGTAGGGGTATTTCCAACCACCTCCCATTACTTTGAGCACCTGAACTTTATTTGGTTGGTACATTTTGGCCCACAAATTGAACATTTGAGGCGCGTTTGGTGAACCAAAAAAAAAAAGGTAAAAATTTCCAAACACCGAACAGAGAAAGGAGGGGTAAAATGTATGATGGTGACACAGATAAATGGTTCCCAAACAAATGATCAGGGATGGTGAAAATCTTGAATTTTTTTGCAGAAAAGCAGAATGGTTACAGTTGGAGAGCATGATATATATATTTTTATGGTTGGTGAAATAAATGATGGTGGTCTTTCACAGCCTGTGTTTTCTCCCCTACAAAGGAAAATACCCACCCAGAGTGAAAATGCCATAAAAGAAATAAAAGGTAGCAGAACAGTGTCAACTTGATTAATGGGGATACCCACCCTAATAATAATCATTATTGTACCCTACAAAAAAAACAACCAAAAACCCTTCAGTCTCTCTCCTAACCAATCTTTCTTGGCAGGATTTCATTTTCTTTGTCATTTTTTGAGGGAAAATCTGAAGCCGATTTGCGAGGATTCGACGCTTGTCATTCCCTTGTAGGACATGAAATTCAGGATTTGACAATGACAATTGACCTGGTAACTAATTCCCACTCCTAATATACCTCCATAATTTTTTTTCCCTAGGGGGATATATACCCTTGTAAGCAACAATAATACCCTTGTCGCTCCGTAAAGGCAGAATCATCAACTAACTTTATTAATATTATGTTTTTCTAAACGTATTCTTCAACCGTTGGATTAAGAGATTTTTCTAAATTTCTCAATTTAACATTTAAAGAATGTGTCGTTGTGAAAGTGACTAATGATAGTTGTTTTTTAAATTAAATTTGAGAGTTGAGGTTCACTGTGCAATTTGCTTGGACTCAACTGATGGAAGTGACTCCTAAAAGAGGGCTGTAGCTTTAAAGAAGTCATAAACAAATAGGAAAGAATTCAATGCAATGTCACTCACCACTAACAACCTTGAGCATAGGGTTCTTAGCTTGTTCATTTACCTTCTTTTTCAGTGCACAAAGAGAGTCTTTTAGGCCACATATGGTGATTGCTTATCATTACTTAGAAAAGATAGCAAAGTGATTAGAGGCAAATTAACAGTAATTCCTTCTTCTTCTTTTTTTAGGTGGATAAAATTGAAAAAAGAAAAAGAAAAAATCTTTAGGGCACACTGTTGAATCTTATAATGAAGACATAAATTTTACCTTTATTATGTAATGAAAAACGTTTCCTAGTTGCTACTAGTACTTGAGATAAGGGAATGTGGTAATTCAAATGCAAATGAGACAAGGACTACCTAATTAAGGTTTTATTGTACAAGAAAAAATTATAACCTTCGTGTAATAAAAAGTGAATCGTTTTCGTTAACGGTGAATGATTAGACCGGACATTTAAGACAGAATCTTTTATCAAACGCCTATCTCTCTCCAATTATAAAGATGTGAATGTGAGTAATCTTTATGATGGTAAATGATTAGACTGAGCAATCTAGACATGATCTTTGGTTATGTTGTTTTCAATAACCTATCAGCAAAACATCAAGAAAACTCCATTCATAAAAAGACATTTAAGCTTGAATAAACAGCCAACTTACTTTAATATTAAAAATAATAATAATAAAAAATAAAAAACTTTGAAATTTCAACTGCCAGACACATCTTACACTATGATTGGTACTATTTCATCCTCTTGTGGACAAGTCTGTCACATAAACTTTTCCCCCCAATTTTATAATTTGTTGGTTAGCTCTTCCATGAATAAATATCATTTCCAAAGAATCTTTTTGATAATTTAATTACACTAATTTGAAGACCAATAATACAACTCTTGATAAATAAAAAAACAAAAGGCTGCAACAAAGAAATCTTTTGTTAAACCCCAAAAAACTGGATTTTTACTAACCACCTCTCATGACATGATTAATCTATTCTTAAGGGTATCTTTCCATTCCTGAACTCCACTACCCTAACCTTTTTCCTATTCACAATAGTATTTTTTTTAAAAAGTTGATAGAGATATTAAAGCCCTTTCAGATTCATTCATTGGGCTCCTAGTCAGACTCTCACCAATGCCACCCTGGGATTCTTTTGATGGTACTATTATTTTATCATCTCACTTATGCAAATTGAATAGTCCCAACCTTTCCGTCATGGGTTTCTTCTCTGCACAGTAAAAAGATACATGCATATATATTATATGTGTGTGCATGCGCGCGCACGTATTCTTACTTATGTATGTGAAGAGATTGTTTCTTGACTCAAACTTATGACCATGGAGCAACCTTAACGTCGCGTTAAGGTTCACTTTTACATACATATACATATGTATATGTATATATACGATTAATCAAGGGCATACGACTCTCGTTACGAATAAAGTTAAATATATGTAGTTTTTACCTTTAACTCAAACTCGTGACCCGTGGATCACAATGTAACGAACTTAATGTTGGGTCAAGGTCCATCCCCCCATACACACACACATATATATATATATATTATAGAGAGAATAGAAAGTACTCTTTTTGGTTAATGTAGGGAAATTACAGGAGCCCAAAGTGCGCCAGAAATGGTGGTTGACTCCATCTAAAGCTAAGCCAATGTCTTAATCATTCAAATTAGACTTTAAGAGAGGAGAGAGGAGGCCCACTCAGACAGCTGGTTACAACATAAGTTACAATCAAAACTCACCCAAATACGCGTTTTAACAGTGGAAAAATATCACTTAACCAACACGAAGATTCGCAATCAAATCCCAATATTTCGTGTCAAATTGATATAATAAAATTTTATGATCTGTAATATACAATCAATGTCAAGTGGGGTTAGATGGAAAATGAAAGCTTGTGGAATTAATATAACATTTCTCATTTTCTAGTCAAGAATATATCTTACAACTGGTGCTTTGTGACTTGGCACTACTAAAACGTAGACATAATACAACTGTTTCTAGGATTATACATTGGATACTTATAAGAAACTTAGCCCCCAAAAAGAAAGACAAAAATAATAGAAGACCACATGATTCACAAAAATAAGATCAAAATATAAATGATAAATACTTAGTGGGAAAAAGGTAGGAAAAAAAAAAAAGTTATTTTGATTGGGACCTAAAGATGGATTAGTAGTCATCCACCAAAATCTCTTTCTATATACAGCAGCCTGTCTCTTCCTTTGAGTAGTCTTGAGTCAAGGGATCAAATGAAATTGGTGACATCACAGCTCAGTTTTCATATCAGATGCTTGATTCAAGCCTGTGTGTTGAACAGTTACTTGGTTATCAATCACTACTACATATTATGTATACATTTTGTTATATATATTGCTGACTTTTTCCCTCACCAGCAAAGGTCTGTGAATGAAATGTTGAATCTTGATTTGGGTTCTGTCCAAAACCCATATGGACAATGCTCTGCAGATCATCTTCGCAGAACGCCGAAAACTGAACATATCGGATTCAAAGGTAGAATTAGATTATGAAAATATAAAAAGGGGCAAAAGGACAAGCCCAGCGCACGAGACTTTTGCCATTGAGGGGTCTGAATAGTCCAGATGTACGAAAGTGGTAAAAAGTTAAATCACCTGTGGAAGACCTTGGCCGAATTCATCAAGTGGAGGTAATTGCATGCCGTTGGACACATTAGGATGATGTACGTGTGGACTTTGGTGGGGCTGGTGTGCATAGAAAGGTAATGCTGAGGTATTTAATGGATATGTTGGATGAGGCAAGGAGACATTTGGCTGAGATATCTGGAATTTGCAATAACACAGTCACACACACACATCAAGTCCAATTTCAATAAATTCGGACAGTAGCAGACACAGAAAAGCCATTGTATGAAATGTCATGAACTTACATCCTTTGGGAGGAGACTTTCCATGTTAAAATCCAGAGTTGAATTCACTGTAGCTAACTTCATAGACAGGAACTACAAAAAAAATTCAATACCCATTAAGTGATTATACTCGAAGACATTAATTCTGATCCCCATTATGCAAATAAATCTGAGTTTACCTCGACTTGGCGTTGCAAAGATTGTACATAATTTATAATTTCATCCAGCATTAGCGCCTTTCCGGTGACCTACAATGTGAATTTCCATGGCTAAGTTAGTAATGGACCTCCCACTGATCTTATATATGACCAATATGTCAAAATTAGTCTCTCTACACACCTTATTGCAACCTGGTACAAGGTCTTGGAGAAGCTTCATTCTTTCACTGATCTTCTCTCTTCGAACCTGCCCAAACACAAAAAAATTGGCATATCTAAGTGCTAAGCTGGCCATTGTTGGGATGAAATGAACACGCAGAGAAGTGATTTGTAATTCGTACTCTTTCTGCGAGACTATGGCTGTCAGTGGCTTGACCCCTCCTTGCTCTCACATGAATGTAGTCCTTTGGTGGCTCAGGAGGCTTTGGGCTGCTCTTGGCTTCATCCCCTGCACCCTTTGTCCCCTCCTCTGTCTTTACACCGCCATTTTCGTTTCCATTCCCTTCATTCAGTTTGGATCGCTTTGAATTCGTATCATCCTCTGCTTCTACTACCTGAAGACAAAATTTTCCGTGGAATTATTGAATTATGAACCAAATTTGGAAAGGAAAATTGGGATTAGTTTGACTAGTGCTAGTGTATACCTTAGTGGAAGATTGAGGTGATGCAATTTCCTTTGATTTTCCTCTGGAAGCAGCTTTTCTTTTCCTGGAATTCAAATCCACTGGTGTTCCAAATCCATTTTCCTCAATTGGGATTTGCTCGGAAACAGAGGACTCCTCATTAGGACTGTGGAATTCAGCTCCATCTCTTGCAACAGAATTTGATAATTTGCTGAATTTATTGTCAGTCACCATTCCCAAGCCATTGTTTGTCCTCATTTCCACATGGGTTTGCTCGCAATTCTTGTTTTCATGAACACCCATTGGAGATCCAGCTGCTTTCAGAGAAGGACTGCTCGAAACTCGTGGTAAATTTGCTCCTCCCATTAATGGGCTTGATCTATAAGGAGATTCAGCATTGTTCAACCCCAATTGGCTTGCCCGGCCGTTGAAACTGCGGCTGCCGAAGCAAGAGAACTTGGCAGCCCTCTCGGCAAACCCGGGGTCACCGGAGAGTGCCGGCAAGGTGGCCTTTGCGGGCATTGAGTTTCCCAAATTGGGCAAGTGATCCATAGTTGGCAAATGCAACTTTGGAGGTGAATTCAAAGGTGTGCTATAACATGTAGTGTTAGTGCTATTACTCCCACCGCCACCACCACCGCTACCAATAATGTGAGAAGCTGCAGCCATTGTTGCCGCCAGCAGCGGCTGCGACTGGGGCGAGATCTCTCCACCGGAGTTGCAGATGATACCCAGCTTTCCGATGAGTTCCCGGATTGCGTAACTGTCATTGGACATGCTGGAATTGGAGACCGCCGGCGAGGAGACCATTGAGCTGAGAGCTGACTCGAAGTGGGTGTACTGTTCTGTTGTTGATTTGTCCCAAATGGGATTGAAGAAGCAGTCGGAAGATTGCTCCGGCGAGCAATTCAGAGTCTGCCATGTGGGTATTTGCGACGGTTCGAACTGTAATGGAGGTTGAATTCCAGCATTGAGGAAGTACTCTTTGTCCATTGAAGAAAAGGGTTGAGACCCAGATGACAATTCACAAGAATGAGATTGAACTTGAAGAGAAATTGAGATTGTTGATTGTGTTGGAAGATAATGAGAGAGAGGAATTAAGGTGTAACAAACAGGGGAAACAGAGGGAACAGAGGAGTGATTTGGAGGAAAGGAAAGGAAAGGAATTGTGGGGTTCAAAATGATGGGATTTGGGGGTGTTAATGAAGGAGAGGTTGTTGAGGGAAGGGAGATTGTGTTGGTGCTGAAAAAGCAAAGCAAAATGCAGAGAGAGGAGAGAGAGAGAGCGAGAGAGGGAGGAGAGGGGGAAGGTTATTGGTTGGGCAGTGATGAAGTTATATAGCTAAAAAAGAAAAGGTTTGTTTGACCTTTTTGTACTAATTATTTTTTATGTGTCACTTTCTCTCTCTAAACTCTACCCGTGGAAAGCGGGGAGAAGGGGTTAATGCCGGGCCTGTAACGTTAAAGCACCAAAATGTCCATTTCCCTCCTTGAAATTACCACTTCCTTCTTCCTTGTTCTCGACCAGAATGAGAGAGAGACTGGGGAATTGGGACAGAAGGAAGGAAGTGTATTTTTCTTTTGTTTGGACAAACTTTACACAACACTGCAATACTTGTAGGACTACTTGGTTGGCTTGAGTAGTCTTTATTTATAGTGTATTTAAGTGTATCCATATATATATATATACACACACACGCATACTTGATACTACAAAAAAAAGCGAAAATGATATTAGCTCACCAATCATCAATAAATTCATTCACACTGTGTATAGTTACTACCACTAAAAGTGTCTATATATATATATATATATATTACTACTACTAAAAGTGTAGATTTTTTCTTTTTGAATAATTTAATTTTTAAATTTTGATTATTTATGCTTTATGTGAAAACCAACCAGCGATTTACTTATACGAACTTATTCCTCCTTGTTATACATGTACTTGTTTAATGAAATTATTCTATCGATCTACTATAGTAAACTAACTTTTTAAAGCAATGATGTTTTCTTTTACTAAAATTAGTCGAAATCATTGAAAGGTAATAAGATTAGTAATTTTAGTTAAGGTCATAAGAATAGTAATTTTAGTTTACTTTCACCAACCTTTATATATATATATATATATATATATATATATATTCGTAAATAGAACAATAAAAGCACACACAAGCAAAACGAGATTTAGGTACGTCTACGGGCGAAGAACGACTATCATTATTTCAAAACCTTAATTATACACTCTTTCTCTTCTCACAAACTCAACTAATTTTTTCTCTGTAATTATATCTCTCTGTATACCTCTTTACCCAAACCCATCTCTATTTGTAGAGTTTTCAAAACCCAATTCCTTATTGAATTACCATATCAGTCACAACTCCAAAATAGAAGTGTAACGACGTTTTTGGCAACCCGAAACTAGAGACTTCTCAGGAGGTTACCCATCCTGATACTACTTCAGGTTAAGCATGCTTAACTCTGAAGTTTTGATAAGTTCACGGTCATCACGACTTTAAACGCGTTATGTCAAAAAAGACTATTGAATCTACGTATAGCACTTGTCCCATTCATACCTAGACGATGTGGGATTGTGCACTTATAACTCGCCCAGTGTGTAGCCTACTGGTGCCACCTGCACATGCTCATACACAGCCGCCCACAAGGTCGCCACAAGAAGCATCCCAAACAGAAAAGACAATTAATTTTAATTTCGAACCACAAACCCAACAATCTCTACATTGGCTCGAAATTATTCTTCACATGTTCTCTATAGTTCCACCTCGAGTGAAGGTCTCTCCACTTTAAACTTAGCAACTTTTTTCTTCTTGTCGTTCTTCGTCGTTCCACCATACATATCCATTCCAACAAATTTCAAGTTCAAATAATTGAACCTGGAATCTACTTTCTCATCACCAAATCGAAATTTTCTTGTTTCTAGAATAAAGGTTAGTGCTCTTGTAATTGCCAAGACTTCTTCATTCTCTTGTCGCTTTTAATCCTCCAATCTAGTAAATCTTGAAATAGGCTTCTATTATGTCTTAATAATTGCTCCACCTAGCATAGTATCACGGCCGGTCATGGGGCAAGGCAACCAAGGCTGTCACCTAGGGCCTCCAGTTTGGAAGGGCCTCAAATTTAGTACCATAATTTAATATAATAGTATATGTATGAAATATTACTACTTTCCATAATTAAACGTAACCAATCTTTTAATCAATTAAAAGACATCCATTTCAGGCCATAATTTTCATAATTAAAAGTCAATACATAATCATATATCATGTAAATTTATGGCAATAAATAACTTTCAAAAAAAAAATTATGAAAATAAACACGTACTTATAATATCAATTTATATATGGAATACAATAATTACTATGGTAAAAATAATTTGTTTCTATCCCTTTCCTTCAAAAGAAAAAAAGGATTTTGTAATGTTTACGATTTTTCCCTTTTTCCAATTTCTGAAATTTTTTGAATTTTTCGAGGGCGATTTCATCTTTTCTCGTTTTCCATGCCGAATACCGTGGAGTGTGCCGAGTATGTCCGAGAGTTGGTTGGGGTATTTCTTTGAGTTCAAAACTCTTGGAAATGCACCGGTTACCATTTTGGCATTTTTTTATTTTTTAGGCAGAAAGGTTCCGGGTGGAACCTATCACCGGAATTGTTGTGCACGGGGGCTATGTCACGGACCCATTGCATTTTATGCATAATTTTATGTTGGTAGTTAGATTGTGTGGTAGTATTATAACTAGTACATGTATATGCATTTTGTGGTGGAGAAATATTGTCAAAAAATATTTTAGTGGTGGGACCCACCACTTTCTTTTTTTATGGTCATGAGGCCATTTAGGCCTCAAAATCTCTCCCTCTCGTTAGATCTCTCTCTCCCTACCTCCCTTTTTTTTCTTTCCTTTTATTTATTTTTTTTTTTTTTTCCTTCCTTCTAGATTTCAAGCTTTGATTATTCTCCAACCGTTGGGAATTTGTTGGTGCCGTTTGCGGTGAATCGGAGAGTTCGTTGAGATCTACGCTTTGATAAGAGTTAAGCACCATTTTGCCAACCATTGGATTTTCAAAAATTGGGCATAATTTGGGGCTTTTTGTATTCTTTGAAGTAGGGATGTTCTAAATCACAAGTTCTTTGACTTTTGGTGAATTAACCTTTTTAATTTGATTATAAGCATGCTTAATTTGACTATTTTGCCTATCACTTTGAGGGTTTGTGTACAACTATGCTCTATGTGACTATGTGATTATAAATACATGATATTTTGAACAATACGATGAAGTATGCTAAATTAAAATCAATGTTTGCATTGTATGTGTGTGGAAAATGCTGAAATTTTAAGTTTTGCCAAGTGATGAGATATACCTACTATGTTGGATGTGTTGGAATCGTATATGGGAGTATGATGTGTTTTACTTCTAGAATTTTCGTAAAGGCATGCATTGCATTCGCTTGGTTGGATGGTTTGAATTGAAAATTGTAGTAGTTGTTGTTGTTGCTATATTTTTTCCCTATGGCATGATCCCTTACTTCTTCATACTATACTTTATTTGGATTCACGAGGTCATTAAGAGATATGTCTTAGACACCTCCTACTGAGCCGTTGTGCTCACCCCTTCTTTATCATTTTAGGGTTTTAGAAGTGAAAGAGTGGACGAGACGCCTTCACATGCTTATACATAGTTAAAAAGTTTATAATTTGAAGTTCTTGATCCATATTCAATGTAATTGAAATTATTTTGATGTATAATGATGTAGTTTAATCTCATTATGATGTACGAATGTTATCTTATCATTGTGAGCATATTTATGGATGTTTTGGAATAGATTTTAACTATTTTAGAAGTCACAAGTGAAGCCATGGGGTTACCCAATTGTTTAGGCACTTAAACAGTGAGAAACTCGCATTTTTGGGCCATTTGGGTCGATCGGTAAGCCATTTCGGTCGACCGGCATCATTTGGAATTGAAACCAGTAGCCTCGATCACTCAAGAGCCACAACCGGTCGACTGATGGGTCATTTCGGTCGGCCGGTATAGCCTTCATGGTCTGCCGAAATAAAAACTAGGACAGCATTTAATCTCTAACTTGAAACGATCATATCTCACTCATTTTAACTCCAAATTAGGTCAAATTTGAGTCTAAATTCAAGAATTTTAAGTCAGCTTTTCAATGAAATTAATTTCACTCAAAAAGTCTAATCATATAGAGAGTTATGACCTTTTTAGTGTGGACTACTCAGGTTTTATTTGAAAACGAAGGGGGCAATTGTGTGAAATCCTCATTCTTACGTCCAGGACCTTGTGTCATGGGTTCAAATGAACCTTATGACTTATGTTGGCTTATTTAGACTCATTTAGAGTTATATTACTTATTACCATACCTTAGTTGATCGTTTTACCTTTAAATGTTCTCAGGTTCGGGTAAAGACCCGGCTAGCGATTCGAACCCACAGGTTCGGGTCGTTACAAATTTGGCATCAGAGCTTTAGGTTCGAAAACCTAAGGATGACGGGTAGGGCTGGTTTAGATAGTGTTAGAATTGGGTCTGATGTGAATGGATGCTTGTGCGATTATTACTTATTTATTTTGAAGGAATGATTTATCACTATGTGCTTACATGTGATTTGATTTCAATATAATAAAGCATGCTAAATGATAACATGATTATTGTCCTTAAGTTTATCGTGTGGTGAATGTGAAAGCATGCTTGTTTGTTAAATGCTTACATGAAATCACTTGTATAATTAATGAAATGGTTAATATTTTTTTTTTTTTTTTTTTAAGCATGCCTAATTGTTTGATGTTAAATGTTCATGTGTAATTGATTATGTGATTAAGTTTGCTTGATACATGTTTGATTCGTTACGTGTTTACCTGTTAGTTGTTTACTATAGATGAAAGCATGTTTAATTGACTACGTACCTAATTGTTAAGTGTTTACTGTCTATTAGAGCATGTACTAAATAATGTGATGACGTATATTTGAGCATGATAAATATGATCCTGTTTTAGAACATAGTTGCATGTTTAATTTTACATTCTGGTCGTTCATTCACTAGGGGGTGGATGTAGGCATAACTTGTTTGTTTCATTGTTGACGGGTTTGAATGTTCATGGCAGTACTGTGTGTTAGGTTACGAAGGGTTCTGACCCACGTATGTGATGGGCTTGATCATTCCTACGTTTATAAATGTTTAGTTCTTATCGAATAGATGATGTGAGCATCATAGCTCGTGGATTGAGCTATTTCATGTATTCCTGTTTTGATCGTATAGTTGCTTTTGTAGAACCGCGCTTGAGGGCAACGTAGAAAGATGGATCCGAATGAAGTTAGACAGCGAGTAGGTGAAAGGCCATCCCAACCAGATAGGGTCTCAATGGGACAGGG